AGACTACGAGCAGTCTCTCTTTTTTCTTGGTCCGTCGAGCAAAACGCCCGAGACACACAAATGACCACGCGCGTGACTGAAGGCTGCCGCCCTCGTTTCTCGCGTATCGCCCTCGTTTCTCGCGCACGCGCGCACACTCCCCTTACTAAATCTAAAGAAAAAGAGAGGCTGCTCGCAGTCTAAATTAGCAGAGAAAACGCGCACTTCCCCACATACGATTTTTTTCCCCTTATCATTAGAAAACATTACAATGTGCAAAATTTCAGCGAATCAATTGGGTTTTAAGCAAAGGAAATTTTCTTCAAACCACTTGAATTCCGCGCAAACGCTTAACCCAGAAAAAAATTAAATAGGTAAAACTTTGTCATCGAGTGTTCAGGCCCTTTTAGTAAAAGTTACGTCTTGGTCGTTTTAGTGACGACGAAGAGGTGTACAAAAAGGGTTGATGCAGGTGCGGAGGTGTGTCTTTTTGGTTACTGCACCTGTTGCTATTTTAGCTTCCCCCACCGTCGCTGTCATCTCTCCCAGAGTAAGTGACTCCGGGATCCGGAATCCGGGAAAATTTTGCATGTGGAATTCAGAAATACGGTAATTTTGAGTCCGAAATACAGCGCAAAAATCCCGGAATCCCACTAAATATTGGAATCCAGAATCCAAGTTCCACTGAAAAAGACTGGAACCCAGTACCTAAAATCCGCAATCCATGGAGCGAAATCCAAACTTCAAAACTGTCTTGGTTTCCCTTGCTTGGGTCCAGGCATTGTTGCTCAAGTTCTTTATAATAACTAAGTAACAGACACACTATAGTTACACGCAAAGTTTTTTGTTTTAAATTAGTTTATTTCTTTTGTGACCTGCCTATAGTGTTACAGAGTACATTTTTTATTTTTACCTTCCAATAACTCTAAATAACAACAAAAAAATTAAGACGGAATCCATCAGGAAATTGAGTAATTTTAATCTTCAGTGGACAAAAACCTTGTACCAGAATAATTTAAACAATATCACATTCTTTTTTACATTTTTCAAGGGCTATACATGTAATTAGTTATCTGTAATAACACCAAAGAAAATTTCTCATGGGAGCCCGAGAAAACGGATGTCAAATTTCACAAAATGACATCTTACACATGAAATTTACCTGTGTTTTCACAGTTCTTGTGAAATTTGACATTTCTTTTCTCGAGCTCCCATGAGAAATAGTCTTTGGTGTTATTACAGATAACTAGTTATATCTATCTAGCCCTTAAAAAAGAATGCAATATTGTTTAAATTATTCTGGTACAAGGTTTTTGTCCACTGAAAATTAAAATTACTCAATTTCCTGATGGATTCCGTCTTAAGTCATATTGTAAATGACATATTAAGTACTTCGTGTCTTTGTACCTTTTTTAGACAGGAATTAAGTAAAGCGAGGAAATCAATGCAGAAACAAAACGTAAGAATCACTGATCAAGACTAGTACGCAATACTGAGTACTGAATAGTGGGACATTTTTGCACAACCCTGTGCTTTAAATGTCTTATATTATACTTTTAGTGCAAATGTGAGACTGATAAACACCTGAAGGAGCTTTGATTATTATTTTCTTTCTTTTATTATACTTAACTGAGGTAGAAGAATTATTTAAAACATTCAAAACTGTGTTTAACACGGGCTTAAATTGACCAGAGATATTGGATCTTCAACTATTACCTCGAATAGTTAATATGAACATTTCCACACGCAAAATTTTAGCCTCACATACTAGTTTTCCATTAAGTGGCCAAATCGTGGAAAATATTAAGTAAGCTTTATTTAGGCTCAGTGCTCTATCGTATACCCGGTAGTACAACTTTTAGATGGCGATTTAAATGATGCCATTTTTAAACGACAAAAAAGCGTAAATAAAAGGAATAAAGGATTGATTTAAGCTCCGACGGACGCACTAGCTTCACCGTCCGCACTATCGTTAGACTCGGCGGACTCCACGCCAGATTCTGCAAAAAAGCCACAGTATATTAATAAGTTCACTCTTCCAAAAAGAGGTTACGTTTTTTAACTTATGGTGATTATTACTAAGGTGAGGGCTGGTTAATTTTTCAATGTAACCATATCAGGAGTGCTTTCGCAGTGATGTTAATACCGTCGTGGCTAGCCTATAAGACCACCACTTTGAAAAAAATACCATAATACTCTTTAAAGAGCCGTTTTGGGTAATGCATGCTACACGTAAACCTGTATTCATCGTTAGGAAAGTTGTGTCCGATGTATGGATAGACATGGATTGAAAATTGAATGGGTTGGGTCAATTTTTTTAAGTTTTAATGCTTTGCCTGCACAAAAATCACCCCAAATTATTAGCATATGTAATAGGAATACCTGCTGTCCAATTTGGAAATAATTGGATGAAAAAAATTCCGAGGACAACCAAATTGGGCTAGGCCTACGGCCTCATCCAATTTGGCTGTCAGAGGAATTTTTTGAATTCAATTATTTCCAAATTGGACAAGCATGTAGTATTAATTGCTGCGGAGCGACCGTAGGGAGCGAGCAGCAACATAATCAGGATTTAAGGGAAATATATAAGGGGCGACGAATTCTCCAATTCATCACTTTTTACCACAATGCATTGCATTTAACCACATTTTTTACCAGAATTCATTGCATTTAACCAGAGTGCACTGCGCTACTCTTTACCAGACTGCATTGCGACAGGGACAACTCAAATGTAAACACGACGAAGAGCGTGCATCGTTCGCTGCTCAGACTCAGATTTTTCTTTGCACGGTTAGAGGTCTTAACAAATTTAAGACACGCAGGAGTCTTTCAGACGAGTACGATGGTTAACTTGGGGATTGGATTTTAAATCAAGAGCCTTTGACTCGTCCAGGCGTTAAACTTGACAAGAAGATGACCATACTCTTCGACCCCACAACACGGGGGATATACAAATTCCAGCTTGCTAGAAGGTTGTGAAAGTGAGAAAATGTCATGCCATGCGCTACTCTTAAGAACCTGTATAAGCCGAAAATGGATGTGATTTTGACCATAAGCTTCAAAATAACAGCGGAAATCGAGATAACAAAACATATGTATTGCGTCCTACTTTGCAGACGAGGATGTGTATCGGCGTTTTGTAATGTTTGTAAAGCATAATTATGTTCTTCCATTCATTCTTGCCATGGAATATGCGTTTGCATTGTTTTTTTACTGGTAATAGACCAGTTAATCGAGCCTGATAATCGATCATCTTGCCGGCGGAAGGTTCATCCAAAAGGCATTAAATCGAAGACTTTTCCCCGAAGTTATGTAATCAGCCTCAGTGGTGTAGTGGTAAGGTGTTGTCGCGTCGAGCCGTAGGTGCTGGGTTCGAATCCCACATAACTCTTTTTTTCCTTCTTTCTTTTTTTTCCCCTTTTTTTGTGTTGTTATTTTCTATAAATATATACCTAAATAACTGTTATTTAATAAAGTGCAATAAACAGCAACAAACGTATCGTGTTTCCCGTGAAAAGATAGTACACCCTATATTAAATATATGGATAAACAATCTGAATTTCTATCATTTCCTACAATTTACTGTGGGAAAACCAGAGTTGATAACCACTTGTCGTAATGATCATTTTGTAAACAACGTTCCCACGAGTTCTTTCTATAGACTGATGGTAATTATTACTTTCCAACATGTAAATAGGACATTCAATGTCATTTTCGATTCTTTTAAGTCCCACTGCCTGACTAATGCCAGTATCAATAGAATGTGCCGCAGCATTACTATCTTTTAGATACCCTAGTTATATAGCTGGTTAGTTAATCTAGATTTTTTTAGCGTTTCACAGACGCGAAATATTGTACATTCGAACCGTTTGCAGTTGAAACAAAAACACACTGCAAGATCTAAAAAAGATTTGTTTTTATGAGTCACTCAGTGATTCTTTACAGATAAACAAACGTAGAACTAGTATAATTGCTCTTTAATACTTTGGCATTTTGTTAGCAATTAAAATTTTGAAAGCTCCTTCAATGATCTGAATGCTGATACAGTGCTACAGGTGAAAAGCATCTCCTGAGCCAGATTTTCGGAGCCTCTAACAATGCAAATACTTAAATTAAATACAATGAATGAAAAATAAACATTTCATTCATTACCTCAAAAGATTTCCGCAGACCGTGTCCGTTTGTTTTTGCATGTAATGCTAACATCTAAACACAGGTACAAGTGTTTTCTTATTCTTTTCCAAAGTTTCAGTGCTTGTACATTTTCAAGAATCTATGCGTTGATTGTTTCCGATACAAACTTTTATTAGTTTGGTCATAAATTTTCCTTTTAAATGGCCCAGACAAGAAGCCAAAACAAAACAGCAACAAAACAAAACGTCATTCACAGCAACAAGATGCCAAGAGTGTTCACCGGCGAACCGCCTTCAGCCAAAGAAACTTTTTTTTGACGCGTTAGTCACAGGGACTTTGCGCTTTTTGGCTAGTTTGCATTGCCTATTGTATTTTCTGGCATTTGATTGGCTCAGACTAGCTGTCCTATTTTTCTTAAATTGGACAGTTTGCCTATTTGTAAAGGAAAGCCCTATCTGAAACTATCAAAATTAACGTACAAATTAAAGGATAATAGCTTTGCTCAGTGACAATATTGGATTAACTAACAGCTATACAATTATTTTAAAAAAATTGCATGTTTCAATTTGAAAAAATTGTAAATAAATTTCAAATCTTATATTTTTAGTAACGGTAATAAATGAGGTAATAAACAATTTCCAAATAACTTAAATCACTTTAAAGTTGCGTCACAATGCTACTTACCATGTCATTGTGATATTAGCAACAAATTTGACTATTTAACTAACTGGCTGTTTTCTCACTACCGCCTGTCTAAGTGTAACCTTATTCTAAATTTTGACCTTTAACGCTTTTTCGTATATGCCTGGAACAGCTTGATAGAATTCATGATAATAAACCTCATCACATAATCTTCACTATGTGTACAACAATGTCTGTAAAGACTTTCACTGACAGTTGATGAATAGTATATACTCACCATCTTTAAAAACAGTCAAGTCGGCAAACGGCAGATCATCGCAGAATACTGCATTATTATTGATTCCTTGGGCTTGTGCTGCGTCTCTGTGTAAGAAGACCCACGGATGTATTCGACGAACATCATCGGTATTATCACAGATAACTTTGGCAAGAGAAGTGTGTCGTATTTGGTCAAGTTGTTCGATGGTAAAACCCGTCTGATGATCATCTCTCTCGTACCAAAAGCGGTCGCCAACACGTGAATTTCTGAATTGCTCGGTCATAATACAGGTAAAGGTAAAACCAAGTACGCTACCAGGTTGCTGTCGCTCACTTATACCACCCGCAAACAAATCGACGTCTTGCACCCCGTTAGCGCCATAAACGTCCATCAGTCTTATTATTTGAGCGTCAGTAACAGTATCAGCAATATCAGCAAAGCTATATGCTGGCTTCCCTCCGCACGCTTCTCGGAATTTCACATAAGCTGGTAAGCCATGATCTCTTCCGCGCTGAATGTTTACTGCTGCTAGATCACCAACGATGCCATCAAAATTTGGTCCTTCAATGATGAGCCGTTCTCGTACGGCTGGAACAAAGTTTCTGAAAAAAAAAATTATACCACATCAAAAAATAAAGATATATATATTATAACGGTTTTTAAAAATAATAAATGGAAACTTTATTGATAACAAAGCTAACTATAAAATCCTGTTTACAATTTATTTCGCTTAAACAACTTTCGGCAGTTAAAGCACTATCTACAATTCCTTTCGATTAAAAAAAAAAAGAAACTTAATGTCCATTTAATTTTTATCGTGGTTATTTTTTTTGGCTTGACATATAATACAGTGTAGTCTGTTTTTTACTCAAAAGCATTCCAGTTTCAAACGTATTTCTACTGCCGGCGTGCCGTGCTATGACATGGTTTCAATAAAATAGCTGTTTTCAAAAATGAAGCATAGAAATAATAATAATAATAATAATAATAATAATAATAATAATAATAACAACAACAACAATAGTAATAATAATAATAATAATAATACTTAGTTAGGGCGCTAAGGACTCCAGTTTTTAGGTTTTCTTTTTTTTCCTCTAGAAATCCAGAAACACAAGTTTGCTGATGTTTTCAGTAGGTTTTTTTTAGAGTATTAGAGTTTCATATTGTTCTAAATAGGCTTTTACTAGAGATAACCATATTATGATGGCCTTGTTTAGGTATATAAAAGATAATGAGAGTATAAAAACTAAATAATTTTCTAAACAGGCTTCTAGAGATAATTATATCATCATGTTTTTGCGTAGGTTTTACAAGAGTATAAGAATTTAATAATATGTTAAATTGGCTTTTTAAGTAGAGAGATTCATATCATTATGTATATTAAGATTGTATTAGGTTTCGCACCGACCTTGTTTTGCTTCTAAGTATAGCTTCTCAAGTGGTGTAGGTTACGTTATGCGCCCTATACTACTCATAATGTTGAAAGCATTCCAAAGTTTTATACTGCGAGATAATAATAATAATAATAATAATAATAATAATAATAATAATAACAATAATAATAATAAAAGGTTTAATCAACTTTTAAAATGTTTTCTACTTGTTTTAACCTAGTCAAAATACATAAGTGAATTTAGTTCGGCACGGCAACAGCACAACGCCATTCGTGTATGGGCCTGTTTACACGGAGGTGGGGGACCCCAGGTAGGAGAGGTAACCACCTTAATTAGGTGGGGTAACTCGCCTTTATTCTCTCATTTTAATTTGATAAGGTTTACGTGATAGGTGGGGTGTCCATATGAAAAATTATATGGACAGGCGGGTTACCCCTCCTAAGCTGGTTATTTACCATACCTACCTGGAGTTCCATACCTCCATGTAGCCCGCAGACTTCCACCATAAGAAAAGCCTGATCCGGAATTTGTATAGTGACAGAGAGCACTAGGCTATTATTCCCAGAGCGTCAGTCCTACCGAACTCTCGCAACCTGACAGCGTGTCAGAACTACCCAATCTGAATCTCGAATTTTAGTGCCGTAAGCCAATTATGCTAATATATGACTTGTGTACCGGAGCCGTTTTCACTATCCACGGGATTACCAGGGTAGGCGGAGATCAGAAAATAAATTTTTACCCAACTGGTTTAACTGGTTTAAAACAACTCTGGTCAACTGGTTAAAGATTTCAGTGATCAAGAAGGAGACTCTGCCTAGATAAAACTGGCCCTTGAGAGGTCGTTCGAGAGCATATAATTTCATGACGGATTTTTAACTTACGCATCAAAATTTCGAGCAAAATTCCTTAACAGCCCCAGCAAAATTCCTCCATATGCGTTGTCTCCTGGCTGATAGAATCGATCTGGGTTGAAGAAGTCTCTCGTGTCTAATTCATTTGGTGAGTCAAATGCTGTACGGTTGAAGTTGGGGCTCAAAAGAGCGAAAGTGTCGCGAATCAGAGTATGGCCCATTCTGAAAGCGGCTGTAGAGAAGCTGTTGAACATTTCCGCATTAATTGTGGGATCATATTGGGTGAAGAAAAAAAGATAGTACACCCTATATTAAATATATGGATAAACAATCTGAATTTCTATCATTTCCTACAATTTACTGTGGGAAAACCAGAGTTGATAACCACTTGTCGTAATGATCATTTTGTAAACAACGTTCCCACGAGTTCTTTCTATAGACTGATGGTAATTATTACTTTCCAACATGTAAATAGGACATTCAATGTCATTTTCGATTCTTTTAAGTCCCACTGCCTGACTAATGCCAGTATCAATAGAATGTGCCGCAGCATTACTATCTTTTAGATACCCTAGTTATATAGCTGGTTAGTTAATCTAGATTTTTTTAGCGTTTCACAGACGCGAAATATTGTACATTCGAACCGTTTGCAGTTGAAACAAAAACACACTGCAAGATCTAAAAAAGATTTGTTTTTATGAGTCACTCAGTGATTCTTTACAGATAAACAAACGTAGAACTAGTATAATTGCTCTTTAATACTTTGGCATTTTGTTAGCAATTAAAATTTTGAAAGCTCCTTCAATGATCTGAATGCTGATACAGTGCTACAGGTGAAAAGCATCTCCTGAGCCAGATTTTCGGAGCCTCTAACAATGCAAATACTTAAATTAAATACAATGAATGAAAAATAAACATTTCATTCATTACCTCAAAAGATTTCCGCAGACCGTGTCCGTTTGTTTTTGCATGTAATGCTAACATCTAAACACAGGTACAAGTGTTTTCTTATTCTTTTCCAAAGTTTCAGTGCTTGTACATTTTCAAGAATCTATGCGTTGATTGTTTCCGATACAAACTTTTATTAGTTTGGTCATAAATTTTCCTTTTAAATGGCCCAGACAAGAAGCCAAAACAAAACAGCAACAAAACAAAACGTCATTCACAGCAACAAGATGCCAAGAGTGTTCACCGGCGAACCGCCTTCAGCCAAAGAAACTTTTTTTTGACGCGTTAGTCACAGGGACTTTGCGCTTTTTGGCTAGTTTGCATTGCCTATTGTATTTTCTGGCATTTGATTGGCTCAGACTAGCTGTCCTATTTTTCTTAAATTGGACAGTTTGCCTATTTGTAAAGGAAAGCCCTATCTGAAACTATCAAAATTAACGTACAAATTAAAGGATAATAGCTTTGCTCAGTGACAATATTGGATTAACTAACAGCTATACAATTATTTTAAAAAAATTGCATGTTTCAATTTGAAAAAATTGTAAATAAATTTCAAATCTTATATTTTTAGTAACGGTAATAAATGAGGTAATAAACAATTTCCAAATAACTTAAATCACTTTAAAGTTGCGTCACAATGCTACTTACCATGTCATTGTGATATTAGCAACAAATTTGACTATTTAACTAACTGGCTGTTTTCTCACTACCGCCTGTCTAAGTGTAACCTTATTCTAAATTTTGACCTTTAACGCTTTTTCGTATATGCCTGGAACAGCTTGATAGAATTCATGATAATAAACCTCATCACATAATCTTCACTATGTGTACAACAATGTCTGTAAAGACTTTCACTGACAGTTGATGAATAGTATATACTCACCATCTTTAAAAACAGTCAAGTCGGCAAACGGCAGATCATCGCAGAATACTGCATTATTATTGATTCCTTGGGCTTGTGCTGCGTCTCTGTGTAAGAAGACCCACGGATGTATTCGACGAACATCATCGGTATTATCACAGATAACTTTGGCAAGAGAAGTGTGTCGTATTTGGTCAAGTTGTTCGATGGTAAAACCCGTCTGATGATCATCTCTCTCGTACCAAAAGCGGTCGCCAACACGTGAATTTCTGAATTGCTCGGTCATAATACAGGTAAAGGTAAAACCAAGTACGCTACCAGGTTGCTGTCGCTCACTTATACCACCCGCAAACAAATCGACGTCTTGCACCCCGTTAGCGCCATAAACGTCCATCAGTCTTATTATTTGAGCGTCAGTAACAGTATCAGCAATATCAGCAAAGCTATATGCTGGCTTCCCTCCGCACGCTTCTCGGAATTTCACATAAGCTGGTAAGCCATGATCTCTTCCGCGCTGAATGTTTACTGCTGCTAGATCACCAACGATGCCATCAAAATTTGGTCCTTCAATGATGAGCCGTTCTCGTACGGCTGGAACAAAGTTTCTGAAAAAAAAAATTATACCACATCAAAAAATAAAGATATATATATTATAACGGTTTTTAAAAATAATAAATGGAAACTTTATTGATAACAAAGCTAACTATAAAATCCTGTTTACAATTTATTTCGCTTAAACAACTTTCGGCAGTTAAAGCACTATCTACAATTCCTTTCGATTAAAAAAAAAAAGAAACTTAATGTCCATTTAATTTTTATCGTGGTTATTTTTTTTGGCTTGACATATAATACAGTGTAGTCTGTTTTTTACTCAAAAGCATTCCAGTTTCAAACGTATTTCTACTGCCGGCGTGCCGTGCTATGACATGGTTTCAATAAAATAGCTGTTTTCAAAAATGAAGCATAGAAATAATAATAATAATAATAATAATAATAATAATAATAATAATAACAACAACAACAATAGTAATAATAATAATAATAATAATACTTAGTTAGGGCGCTAAGGACTCCAGTTTTTAGGTTTTCTTTTTTTTCCTCTAGAAATCCAGAAACACAAGTTTGCTGATGTTTTCAGTAGGTTTTTTTTAGAGTATTAGAGTTTCATATTGTTCTAAATAGGCTTTTACTAGAGATAACCATATTATGATGGCCTTGTTTAGGTATATAAAAGATAATGAGAGTATAAAAACTAAATAATTTTCTAAACAGGCTTCTAGAGATAATTATATCATCATGTTTTTGCGTAGGTTTTACAAGAGTATAAGAATTTAATAATATGTTAAATTGGCTTTTTAAGTAGAGAGATTCATATCATTATGTATATTAAGATTGTATTAGGTTTCGCACCGACCTTGTTTTGCTTCTAAGTATAGCTTCTCAAGTGGTGTAGGTTACGTTATGCGCCCTATACTACTCATAATGTTGAAAGCATTCCAAAGTTTTATACTGCGAGATAATAATAATAATAATAATAATAATAATAATAATAATAATAACAATAATAATAATAAAAGGTTTAATCAACTTTTAAAATGTTTTCTACTTGTTTTAACCTAGTCAAAATACATAAGTGAATTTAGTTCGGCACGGCAACAGCACAACGCCATTCGTGTATGGGCCTGTTTACACGGAGGTGGGGGACCCCAGGTAGGAGAGGTAACCACCTTAATTAGGTGGGGTAACTCGCCTTTATTCTCTCATTTTAATTTGATAAGGTTTACGTGATAGGTGGGGTGTCCATATGAAAAATTATATGGACAGGCGGGTTACCCCTCCTAAGCTGGTTATTTACCATACCTACCTGGAGTTCCATACCTCCATGTAGCCCGCAGACTTCCACCATAAGAAAAGCCTGATCCGGAATTTGTATAGTGACAGAGAGCACTAGGCTATTATTCCCAGAGCGTCAGTCCTACCGAACTCTCGCAACCTGACAGCGTGTCAGAACTACCCAATCTGAATCTCGAATTTTAGTGCCGTAAGCCAATTATGCTAATATATGACTTGTGTACCGGAGCCGTTATCACTATCCACGGGATTACCAGGGTAGGCGGAGATCAGAAAATAAATTTTTACCCAACTGGTTTAACTGGTTTAAAACAATTCTGGTCAACTGGTTAAAGATTTCAGTGATCAAGGAGACTCTGCCTAGATAAAACTGGCCCTTGAGAGGTCGTTCGAGAGCATATAATTTCATAACGGATTTTTAACTTACGCATCAAAATTTCGAGCAAAATTCCTTAACAGCCCAAGCAAAATTCCTCCATATGCGTTGTCTCCTAGCTGATAGAATCGATCTGGGTTGAAGAAGTCTCTCGTGTCTAATTCATTTGGTGAGTCAAATGCTGTACGGTTGAAGTTGGGGCTCAAAAGAGCGAAAGTGTCGCGAATCAGAGTATGGCCCATTCTGAAAGCGGCTGTAGAGAAGCTGTTGAACATTTCCGCATTAATTGTGGGATCATATTGGGTGAAGAAGCTACCTTTAGGCTCCAACAAAAGACCATTTTGTCTTCTCTGCAACAGAAGTATAAACAAAACGTAATTAGCTATTATTGAATGCTGGACTCGGACAAATTATGCAGATCGAGGAGAGTGAAAACGGTCTGCGGGATTTGCATAACTCTTCATATCATACGAAAGTCGAATTCAATAATTGTATTTATTAATATTAGTCATTCAAAACTATATTCTAACTTCTTAAGAACCCTTCTTTTTTCGTAGAATTTTTTTCTTTTTCTTATTTTGCAGTTATTGTTTAATTTGTTATATTTTTTTCGCTCTTTACCGTTCTTCGCCTGTATTTTAAACGAAAACTAATTGGTACAATGGTGGTCAGCTATACTGAAAACCTAATGGTTTACCTGGCGACAGCTACCTGAAAACGAGGTTGTGATGGTATATTAAAGTATCTGCCATATATGGTCAGCGCTGAATAAAGAATTAGCGAGAGAATTGAAGCCAATTAGAAACGGCGAAATATTTTGAATGGATCATAATCACTTATAATTATAGCATGCGCAATGAGCAAATACTCGAAAAAGCTCTTTGGGAGAAACGATTATCCTACTGTGTGCCGAGTTCATTAAAATTATGCTTGCAGGTGGTATGAATTACAGCCGTAGGTAGATTTGTAAACATTCTAGGAAATTAAACATTTGACTTGAAAAAAATAAAACATCTCTATAATTGTAAGGAAATTAAAAGATCCACAAATTGTCTAATTCCGACTGTTGCTTTGTCAACAACAAAAGGTGGATTAGTCAGCTACCATCAGCGTTTAGCTACGAATCCTTGAGGCTGGGTACAGAGCGAGTCAGTGTGTGCGTGTAAACGTTTTTGTGTGTACCAAGCCGCAATTATTATTTATCTATTTTTCTCCTGAAAAGGATTTTGTCTTGAAAAGAAAACTGGCGTAAACATATTTTTACCATTTTCTTACCAATTCTCTACTTGGGAAAAGAACTACAAGCCACTCATTGTAAGTTATGTGTTGAATCTCAGCCCCAACAATCTTACGTGCTTCCTGATATAGCCTCTCGTCATCCCAGTGAGGATTGAGCACGTGCAATACTTTTGCGATACGATTGTGCTCACGTACCCATAGCAAGTGCATCGCCATCAAAGCTGTTAAATAAAAAGAGAGGAACAGCGAAAAGGTTAGTTACACAAGCTTTATATTAATGCTTATTAACAGCTCTGACGGCTACAAGTCCGGCCGAATCAGCGCGGGTCCAGCTTGATCACCGAAAGGTGTGAGATACACACAATTAATATTGCTTTTAGCTTCTTTTCCACTTTTTATGCACAGTAAACACAAACCGGGAAATTCAGAGCACGTCAGTTGAACTCTGATTTAATACCTTTACCGTTCTTATTTAGTTTTTTTTTGTTCTTATTTGTTCTCTTTAGTTAAATATAAGTGATTGCCAGCAATAAATACTAGTCTCTGAAACTTAGAATCATTTAAACGTTTACCGTGATTCTCGTTCACTCTTATGTCACCAGCAAGAAAGCACGGTCTGCTACTGCGATCTGTTGATCTGCAGAAAGCTTCTGCTTCGGCATCTGGTAGCCTGGGTCTATCATTAGTGTTGATGTAAGGACTCACATCCAAGAACCCTAGGTTTGCTTTTGTGTCTCGAAGCCTCAATGCCAAAGCTTCATCCGATCCGTACACTTGTGAGGCATCGATGTAAGACGTGATCTCATTTACCTAACAGGAAGAACAACCCATGCATGATGATCGATGCTGTTGATGATGATGGTCGTTGATAAAATGGATACACAATGTAATTGTCTTTTGCACTTAAGCTGAGATTGCAAGAGACTCAACAAATTGTAACATTAGGCTTTGAAGCTGATAGTTCAGGAAAATAAAAGAATCATGACCTTGAATTACGCTTGCTCAAATTAAGGCGCCTCAGAGGCCACAAAACAACTTGATAATTGATTCTAGATAGCAAAGATGCCATGATCATGGTCATCATCATCATCATCATCGTCGTCGTCGTCGTTCTCGTGCTCGTCATCATCATCTTCATAATCATTATCTTAATCCCTTTACATTACAGTAACAGTCAACAGTCTAGAATAATTTACGATGGCGATGGCCTTCAGGCGGACTGTACCACAGATTTCCTTGGAGACACCTCCCCCCCCCCCCGGTAGAGCCACCTTTATCGGGTTACTATCAGCAGTCTCACGCTGCAAAAGCAAGAGTATACCGACTGTGAGATTAATCAATACTAAAATTCCAGCGATTCTTCACGGCAGTGCTTTTCCGTGAAGCTATAAACACAGGCATGCATTTATAATTAATGATGCAAGATTATTGTTCTTATTCTCTATGACCTACCTGTTGCGAGTCTACCCTTAGGGACCTTCTCAGGGGTATACACTCTGCTGTTAAATTAAATTCCAATCTATCGTTACCGTTATTGCCATTCAAAGGAATTCCAATGCAATCATCGTTGTTGGTTACACACGGTTCATCGTTGCCCCCGCACTCCACATTTGGTGTCAGCTCTGTCAGAGTGACGTCATGATCTAAGAATTGTCCCCAGGTCATGGTTATGTGAGTGAAATCCGGTCTGATGCCGTTTACATCTCTATTATTGCTACGAAAGACAACTCGGCTTATTCGCCTTGGATTTGGCAAGGGCTGGTTATTCACTGTTTTACTTCGAGGTTGATCATTTGGTGGTTCATATTCCGCACCGAGATTACGGAAACGTCGTAGTGGTCTTCCAGTTGCTCCCTGAGTTATGTTACACAAATTGTTGCATGAGCCGTTAATAGTGCGATAATTGTACCGGAGACATGCTAATCGGTCTTTGAGCTCGTCGCGGCAGTTTGTCAGCTCAAGTGTGTCCAAGGTTTGCTGAGCAGCCTCATTTGAAGACGATACTTGACGAACTTCATATGCAAAACCAGTCAGAAAGATACTCAAAAGAAGCCTGAAAGCGACAATAAATAAATTACAGGGGCACCCAACGGCAATTTTCGGGAAAATATCTGTTCGGAAGACGATTTGAGATCTAGAATTTTCGGAGCATTTGTTGTAAAATTTCTTGCTTGCCTGCCTCTCCTAGGATTTTCGAACATCTACAAAATGGTATAATTACCCATTTTTAACGGATTTTGACCCTAAAAAAGGCCACCTAGAATTTTCGGGAGCCTTTTCCTAGCTGAAAGTTTCGAGAAGGTAAGTTTTTATCCCTATAATTTTCGGATCACTAGACTTTCAGCTAGGAAATCCGAACAGATGAAAAGTTTTTAGGGGATAAAAATATGCCTATATCTACCGTTTGAATACTAAAATAAGTTCAACAATGTTATGTTAAGTGGTTTTGAACCATATCCTCGTTGGGTGCCCCTGAAATTAGCCTAACCCGTGGCTTTCATTTTAACTTGGAGGTTTACCGAAAGAAAAGTTGTGGCCGCATGAATTTCATGTCGATTCATGCGAACAGGAGTGTATTATCAGGCATAGGGACCCCACGCTCTTACTTGTAACTGCAAACGGAGATTGAATGCGAGATAAAATTTTACCTTTTTTGTTTTATTCTTGAATCTGCTGTGGTGCGAAAGTCAAGTCGACGCACAATATTTGAATTAACGGAAATAAATACTTTACTCTTACTTTCTCTCGAATTGTTAATAAATTAATAACCAACAATGAAACGCGAGACGATAATAACAACCGGCGCGTGACACCAACAGTAAAATGAGAGTCAGTCCACACAAAGCAATGTGAAATCAGCAAAGGTTAAAGCGTCGACTTGAACATAGTTTTCGCATCGTAAAACAACTTCCATTTCACTTCGCACCACAACAGATTCAAGAATAGAACAAAACAGGTAAGATTTTCTTTCTTATTTAATTTCCATTTGCTGTTTACAAATGAGAGCATGGGTTCCCTATGTATCAGGTTTAAAAACTCGCGGCTTTGCCTCGAGTTTTTACACCTGATAATACGCGACTACTAGTGTTTTGAACGGCTTCAAAATCTCTGAAATAGATCAACTATTATTGCACTAGTAATACTTAGATTTGGGGTTATTTTGGTCTAATAAATTGGACATAAACTTTAGCCGTATCTTTAAAAGATATAAAGACACTCGTTAAACATTAATTTCTTTTGTTTTTTATTATGAATTTTTAATGAGTTTTTGAATTTGTGTTTAAGGGGCTAATTCACGGAGATATATTGCTGTTTTAAGTCAATTCTGTGCTAAAATCATTACTTAGTGCTTACACCCACACACAAAATGCTCGACCTGTAGAGTTATGAAGAAGATATTAAACAAATTTCATCAGGGTGATTACCATCCAGATTATAGTTTAACGGCGACTTTTGCATGTAAAAAAGTTGGATCATTTTTAACGTCATATTGTTTTCCTTAATTCTACATACACGCATTAACCACGTTACTAAAAACATTAGTTTGCACTGGGAGTTGCAATCCTTCATCATTTTCCGATTGTTACACTGAATAGATTTTGAAGATATTATTGTCAACATATGAGTTTATTGAGAAAAAATAAATTTGTTCATAAAAAAAATACCCCGAGCAAAGTGGATTGGTGGTTAAGACCCTAAAGACTATAATTTATAAACGGTGATTTGGATTTGCGATATTCAGTTCATGATTACTCCAGGGTGGCAGATTTTGTGTTTTAGTTGTATGTTGTAAATATGTCAAACGATGGTACATGGGAACATGGTATAGTTAAATGAAATATTATAATTATATAAAAAGCGTCTCTTTGGCCGGGATATAGAGTGCCTCGTATATGAAAGACCTACATAGCGGAAACAGAAAAATAAAAACGAACATCAGGCAACTGCTTCCTCTTACATCTTCCACCTGTTAAAGTAAATTAACTACTTTCAAAACAACTCATTTACGAATGTTAGAGTCAATATAATACTGGCTGGTGGCTCAATTTTCTGCTTTATTCATTTTAAATCAATTCTCGCCGATTTGACAATCTCCGGTCTCTCCCTCAACCAAGTCAAATACTAAAGCACTCTAACTCTCCGCGGAGTCAACGAATGCTTTTCATTCGGTCAATTTGTCCTAACTACTGATTGTTTTTGATATAAGTAGGTTTCTAACAATTTATTAAATCACACATTGCAATCCCTAACGCGCTCAAAACATCCCTGCATTCAGCTTTATTGAAACTTTCCACGGTTTATTGACTTATATATATATATATGTCGGGTTGCAACACGCCTACGGAAAAGATTTCTAGCTTTGTGGACTACCATTTAAGGCCTATAGTTCCGACCATTAATTCTTACATAAAGGACACTAACGATTTTTTAAGAAAACTCAAGAACATCGACACTGTACCAGAGGGGGCGATACTATGTACAGTCGACGTTGTGGGGTTATATCCCCACATACCACACGATGAGGGGATAGAGGCGGTGAAAGAGGCGTTGTTAACATGGGATTCCAATGTGGAGAATGGGAGGAAACTAGGGGATCTCAAGAACGACTTGGTAGAGTTTACAGAAATAGTTCTTAAAAACAATAATTTTGAATTTGATGAGCGGCATTTTGTCCAGAAACTAGGCACTGCGATAGGGACTCGGATGGCACCGTCGTATGCTAACATTTTTATGGACAAACTAGAAAGACAGTTGATTTCAAACGCTTTAATAAAACCCCATACTTGGTGGCGGTATATTGATGATATTTTTATAATTTGGACAGCAGGGGAGGAAAGTCTTAAAGATTTTATTAATTATCTAAATGGTGCGCATAGAACGATCAAGTTTACATCAAAATGGTCCTATCAAGAAGTTGAATTCTTAGATGTTAAAGTCGTGAATGAATCGGGAAAACTGGAGACGGATGTTTACATCAAACCCACCGATAGCCATCAGTATCTCCACCGGGTGTCGTGTCATCCGAACTCTTGCAAGAAAGGGATTCCCTATGCACAAGCATTACGTTTGAGGAGGATTTGTTCCAAGGAGACTTTCTTTGAAAGCAGAGCGCGGGATTTGTGTAGTTTTTTAGAAGAAAGGGGATATGAGAAGAATGTCATACAACAACAAGTGGATAGAGCGAGACAAACACCTAGAGATGAAGCATTGAGGGATAAACCAAGAAAGGAAAATACCAGGATTCCCTTCACAGTGACGTACCACCCGGGTCTGCCTAACATCGGAGGCATGTTGAGGAACCTACATCCGGTTCTTCACTCTTCGCAGAGATGCCGGGATGCCATTAAAGAGGTGCCAATGGTTGCTTTCAGAAGACCGAAATGCCTCTCCGACTTCTTGGTTCGAGCAAAGTTTAGGAGTGCCGCTAAGGAAGAGGTAACAGGAACATTAAAGTGTGGTAGTAATCGGTGCCAAATTTGTACTTTTCTGTGTGTGGGGAGAACTTTCCGCAGCAAAACCAATGGGAAGGAATTCCGTATTAATTACAACTTAAATTGTAACTCTAAAAACGTGGTTTATCTTATTACTTGTAAGGTATGTGGCATTCAATATGTTGGATCCACTACCACTACTTTTCGGTCTAGGTTCAATAATCATAGAAGCAGGATCAATGCCCATCTCAAGTTGTCTTCTGAAAATAAGAGGAATGACGATTTTCTTTACCAGCATTTTCATAGTTCGGGACACTTAGGATTAAGCCATTTAACTATACAGTTAATAGACAGAGCCATGGGAGAGAGGGAGTTGCGGAAGAAGGAGGGACAGTGGATGTATAGATTGGGAACGCTGCGCCCTCAAGGACTTAATGAAGATGATGGTTTTTACGCCCAGAACCGCAAGACGCGCGCGGGCGCGCGCAGGAGATGATAGTGTCATCTATGACATTTTCCGTTAGACGTTTAAAATAACAGTCATTTCAGTTGTGATGCGCGCGCGTTACCTTCGTAATTCAGCAATTTAAAAGTTTTGTACGTTAACGGCTAGTTAGTCACCCTGAAGAAGATCACTGAATGTGATCGAAATATAGGTGGATTGAAAGGAAACTGTTTTCTGTCTTCATTTGTGATTAAGATATATATACTTATATATATATATATATACAACCTAGTTGATAAAACCAAATAATTTCGCAAATAGCAGCCGTGTCCGGCGTTTTGTAAGTAGTCTAAATACAAGTCAATAGGCCTCAGCGAAACATATCATACAATCATAATTTGGCGCGTTTTAAAGTTGTAGTTTAATTTCTTGTTATAGTTGTTGTTTTAAAAACTGCAGTGTTTGTAATCACTTTTATTGTTACGTAATACATACCTTGAGAACCACATGTTATCTTCCAGGTCCTAAGGCTGCAAATACATTAAGAATACAAGTTTAATTACTGTGAAACTTGTTGTATTGAACGGCCTAGATTGGACTAGCCTGCATAGCAGGCGTTCGAGATGTAAGGGGAAGGGAATTTTTTGGCGCGAGACCGCGCCCGAAATCTTCTTCCCTTTCGAACGACCCCTAAAGTTAGCCTGGGTGGCTGTCGTCAAACAGTGATAGCTGAAGGGTGGCCGCCCTCGCTAACAGTCCAGGAAAATCCATTCTATGATAGTGTTCGCGAGTGGAGGCAATCGAGACTAAAAACTGGGGTTGGCCGCTTAATACAGGGTTATTCTATACACTCATGCTCAGGCTCCACTGCAATATTTACTCCAGCTTCTAAAGGACGAATAAATATTTTTTTACTACAAACAGAGTTAAACAACAGTCTCATGAAACAAATGAATCAGCACATTCTGTGTTTTAAAGCGGAACTCTTTGGCTTTTTATTTTTACCGAGTGGTTGAAAAGGTGCTTACGTGGAGTTCTTCCGTGGGATTAGGTATAAGACTAGACTTCCAATGTTCTGGTTACGTGGAAAGGTGGTTAGCAGCAAAAGGGCGGATATATCAAGGAAGATTGAAAACGTATACTACGCAAGCCTGCTATGTGACAAGGGTATCACAATCTATCTTACAATAATG